TCCTCATTTCACAGATGAAGGATGAAGAGATAGGAGGATTAAAAAGTTGTCCAAGGTCACACAATTAGTAACAGCAGATATTTAAAAGTATGTGACTCAAATTTGCTTTATCATGCCTTATGCCCTATTCATTGAATCTACTTTATTCATAAAAGTTTAAGGTTCTTAGACAGTTTAGATAGTCCAGTCTGAACATTTTTTTCTAGGAATAATAATTTAACATGAAAATCCTTATTTTATAGGGGGCTAATTAAAAAAACATCTCATGGTTGCCCTTTAAGAGGTCATTAGATAAGAACTTTTCTGAAGATGCTGTGAGTACATACTACCTACTAAGTGAGTAGTGCTGTACCATGGGGACTCAGCTCTGCTTGTGTGACACTGCAGTTTTTGACCAAAACAAGAATGATCTTGAAAAAGTATAAAAAATTCCCCAACATTCTCTTTCCTCTTCTATAAAGGGGGGTAGTAGTAGTTGTTGTTGTTGTTATTTGCTGTCGAGTCGGCCCCGACTCATAGCGACCCCTCCTTGGGTTTCCGAGGCAGTATCACTACGGAAGTAGGATTGCCCAGCCTTCCTTCCGAGGAGTGGCTGGTGGGTTTGGATCGCCAGCCTTCTGGTGAGCAGTCAAGTGCCTTAGGCATTATGCTACCAGAGCTCCCGGGGGTAGTAGTAGGACCTGTCATATACAGTTGTTGTGAGGATTACCAAAAACCCAAACCCACTGTCCTCCAGTTTATTCCAACACAAAGGGATTGGGACCCTATACAACAGAGTAGAAGTGCCTCATAGGCTTTCCATAGGCTGTAAATCTTTACAGAAGCAGACTGATGGATTACAACCTTGGATCTTCTGCTTAGGAGCCGAGCACTTTAACTACTGTGCCACCAGGGCCTGCTTCTAAGGATTAAAGAGGTATAAAGTAATGAAAGTAGAGAGTTTAGCACATAGGTGTTCATGATTACTGTTGTTGTTATTTCTCATGCATCTCTAAAGCAGTCCTTTATTTATTTATTTGGAGCTTTGGGTACAAATTTACAAAGCAGTTTTGTTTTACATTCAACAGTTCATGCACATTTGAATTCATGGCCCTGATCACCATCCCCAACCATAAAATACTCTCCTCTCCTCTCTTCCCTGTGACTACTGCCTCCCTGTGCCCTTCTTATCTAGGTATTCCTGTCTGTCCAGCTTTCCCTCTATGTAAATGCTGCCACTCTGGTGTCTCATGGCTGGTTGATCTAAGGGGACCATCTCCCTAGAGTAGGTGGGTGCATCATCCTGGGATCAGTGTTCTGCATGTAGGTCTTTCTACTGTTGAACTGAGAACCAATCCATGGAAGTGAGTCCATTCCTAGGCCTAAAAGATAACCCAGGGCCATAGTCTTGGGGATTCCGCCAGTCTCTATCCAACCAGTAATTTTGGTCATTTTTGAATTTTGTTCCACATCTCTCCTCCCACTCTATCAAAAATCTCCAATTATGATCCCTTTCCAAATGGTTGGCATTGGTAGCTGGGCACTATCTAGTTCTTCTGGTTTCAGGATCATGAAGTCTGAGGTCCTCGTGGTCCATCATATCTTTGGACTAATTGTTTCCAGATGGCTTTCATTTTCTTCACTTTTTTTTGCTCCAGACAAGAGGAGACCAATAGTTGCGTCTTCGATGGCTGTTTGAAAGCTTTTAAGACCCCAATCGCTACTCACCAAACTAGAATGTAGAACAAGATTTTTATGTACTATGTTTTGCCATTAGGCATGATGTCCCATGAGACTATGGTCCCCAGCCCGCAGGCCCAGTGATTCTCTATCTCAAGGTGTTTCGTTGTCTCTGAGAAGCTACTCCAATCTTGACCTCTTATTACTTAAGATTGCTTATTACTAAAGATCTGCTTTATATTGTACTGGGAGACAATTTCTATCAGAAAGTTTTCATAGAATCATAAACTCTTCAAATAGGAAGAAGGATTTCCATCCAACTTCTGACCCAGTGCAGGGATTTCTGTTGTAACATCCCTTACCAATTAGTTATTCTAGCCTTGTTTAAACTTTCCAGTGACTAGATGCATTTTTTTTTTTTTTGGTTATTTTTTTAGATGCATTTTTTTTGACAGCTTTATTTTTTTTTTTTCAATTCTTTTATTGAGCTGAGAATAACTTCTCTGTAACTCCCACAAATTGCTACTAGTTGTTATATGGGTCACTATAAAGTAGGTCTAACCCATCTGCCAGAACAGCTCTGGTACATGCATTTAGCTATACAGTTTCTTATAAATTTTCTATTTTCTCCCACCAGGGAATTAGCATCATTTCCTTCTACCTTTTTGTCCCATTTCAAATATACCGTAGGTGTTAAAGATGAGTGTTTTCATACCTTTCACTACTACTGTTCCCTTCTTTGCATTCTCAGGTTTTTCAAAGACTATTAAAATATGCCCTCAAAGTAACAAAATGCACTAGATATTTGACTAGTGTAGAATATACCGGGGCTTGATCTACTGTTGAGTTTATTTTTTTTTTTGTGGTAAAAAAAATTATATTTAGAATTAGCCAGCTGGACTAGGTTTAGGTAATCCCAATGTTTTTGGCAACATCCAAAGCATCATAGTCAGGAGCCAGTCAAACATATGCCTTCTTCTCTCTGTCAGACCTGATGAAGGTATTGACCTTGGCCACATCAATGTCATAGAGCTTCTTCACAGCCTGTTTGATCTGGTGCTTATTGGCTTTGACATCCACAATGAACACAGGTGTGTTGTTATCTTCTGTCTTCATGGCAGACTCAGTTGTCAGAGGCTTGATGATGGCATAGTGATCACGCTTGTTTCTGTTGGGGCGCTCTTCTGAGGATATTTGAGCTGCCTTCAGAACCTCAGTGTCTTAGGCCACCGGCAGGTGGGTGATGTGCGGATCTTCTGTTTTTCTGGGGCTGTGGATGCCTTGCAGCACTGCCTTCTTGGCCTGCAGCGCCTTTGCTTTAGCTTCAGTTTTGGGAGGGACATGGGCTTCCTTATTCGCTTTCAGTGCCATCTTCATAAAAAGGGCTCTACTATTGAGTTTAAAAGATGTGTTACAAAACAACATTTATAGTATGATCCTATATTTTATGAAAACAAATAAAAAACCAAACACATACATACATGCATATATATTTAATTCCTCGGAAGGAAGGTTGGGCAATCTACTTTCGTAGTGATACTGCCTCGGAAACCCAAGGAGGGATCGTTATGAGTTGGGCCCGACTCGATGGCACATAGCAAAAACAACATATATGTATACACACACATATACACACACATATATAGTTGTTGTTAGGTGCTGTTGAGTGTGTTCTGACTCATAGTGACCCTATGTACAATAGAACAAAGACTGCCTGATTCTGTGCCATCCTCACAGTTGTTGCTGTCTATGACCCCATTGTTGCAGCCACTGTGTCAATCTTGAATTTGAGGTTCTTCCCCTTTTTTGCTGGCTCTCTACTAAGCTTGATGTCCTTCTCCAGGGACTGATCCTTCCTGATAACATGTCCAAAGTACTTAAGATAAAGTCTTGCCATCCTAGCTTCTAAGATCTGGCTGTATTTCCTCTGAGACAGACTGTTAGTTCTTTTGGCAGTCTGTGGTATATTCAGTATTCTTTGCCAGCACCATAATTGAAATGTATCATTTCTTCAGTCTTCCTTATTCATTGTCTAGCTCTGAATATATAGGAGGTGATTGAAAAATACCATGGCTTGGGTCAGGTACACCTTAGTCTTCAAAGTGACATCTTTCTTTTCAGTGCTTCAGAGAGATCATTTGCAGTAGATTTGACCAATGCAGCATGTTGTTTGATTTCTTGACTGCTGCTTCCATGGATGGGAGCCCTGGTGGCATAGTGCCTAAGGCATTTGACTGTTAACCAGAAGGGTGGTGGTTCAAACCCACCAGCCACTCCTTGGAAGGAAGGTTGGGCAATCAATCAGTCTACTTCCGTAGTGATGCTGCCTCGGAAACCCAAGGAGGGATCACTATGAATTGGATCCGATGTTGACTATGGATCCAAGTAAAATGAAATCTTTGATAACTTCAGTGTTTTCTCTGTTTATGATGATGTTGCTTATTGGTCCACTTATGAGGATGTTTTGTTGAGGTTTAATCCATACTGAAAGATAGTTAGTCTTTGATCTTTATCAGTAAGTGCTTTAAGTCTTAATTTTCATCCAGCAAGGTTGTATCACCCGCATATTGCAGGTTGTTAATGAGTCTTCCTTAAATCTGATGCCACATTCTTCTTCATACATTCCAACTTACACATTGTGTGTGTGTGTGTGTGTGTGTATATTTATATAAATTTGTATATGTAAAGAAAGAGATATTTATAATGTGCATTAAGAAGTCTGGGATGATGAATAACAAAATGTAAATAGTGTTTTTCTTTGAATTGTAGTGTTATGGTGAGTTTTATTTTCTTTGTAAAATAAAAATTTTCCACTGTTCTATAATAAACATGTTTTATGTAATGAAAATAAATTAGCAACTCTTTTACAATGAAATTACTTCCTTTATTATTGATCTAAGACCTTTCTTAGTACATGCCAAGATTTTCTGAGCCATGTAATGATGTTGGCTCACTTTGAGCATATAGTCAATGAAAACTTCCAAATCTTTTTTTTTTTTTTTCCAATGAACTGTGAAGCCTTGGTTCCCCTATATAGTATTTACAAAATTGTTGGTTGAACTTAAAATTTCTATAAAATTTCTTATTATTTGTTTTAGTCTATGTTTATAATCTGTGAAGATCTTTTTGACTCTTGAATATGTCTTTCAGTATATTATCTTCTCAACATCTTGTGTAGATTTTTTTTTTCCCTTTTCACAACTTGTCATTTTATTTTAATCACCACTGTTGGGGTACCCTGTTGCTGTAAGACTCAGTCTCCACTGACTTGGTAACTTCTTGGCCTTCGGACCTCTGCAGATTTGGCAGAACGCTTTGAGGTCTCTGGCCCTGCTGTGAAGTCACTGGGAGCTCTGGTCATCGCTTGATGTGGTGGACCTCGTGAGGTTCTCTTGGCCTTTGCATGACTCGTTTTGATTCAATTTCTTATTGAACCTGTGATAATGGCCGAATAGTATTGGCCCTTTAGTTTTCTTAGGCACTCTTGGGTGGGCAGAAGTTTTGGGAGGGGCTTTTTTTCTCACACTTCGTTGAAGGGGTCTTTGGGCCCCCTCAGTTGTCTTCGGCACCTTGACACTGGCCCTGGGTTGACAAGGGGCCTTTCTCTTCCTCCCTTTGGTGCTTGATGTTGATTGGTCAGTATCTGTGGTAGAAGCTTGTGGTTTCTTGGTTGTCTTCACCATGCTGAAGCCTTGTAGCAGTCTTTCAACATCATCTATAGATTTAATAGCCATGTTCTATTACTGGGATTCAACACGCCATGATATATCCGTAAAGAAACTCCTCAGTTGAGTTTAAATTTAAAAGTCTTTAAATATAAAAATCTTTTTGCATGGTATATCTACCAACATTGAAGCCACTTAGTAGAACTATCAGTTGGCTGTTTCTCTCCATTGTACCCATTAGAATATTATGAGTTATTCTATCCATTGCCTTTACTAACTCATGCTGTGTTCTATTTATGACATTACTTGAACCTATCTCTTTTAGTAGTAATTCTATAAATTCTATGGAAACCATACTACTTGAAAATAACTTGTTTCTGCTAGTGAGCCATTGATGATGCCTACTATTGGTGCAAAATTCATTCCTTCTCCACCCTTGCATCTAATTCTGGGTCTGGATACTCAGAGTCATTGAAAACAGCTACATGTCTCTTATGATCTTGGTCTGTTTGGAGCTTCAGTAATCTAACATTATTACTTTTATCCTTTCCAGTTTGAGAATGAATCTTGCTAGGGAAGCTGGGAAGAATCAGATTCTGGGCATTGTCAGTTATTGTGTAAGATTCTCCTGTGGTTTAAGACCATTCATTGTTTTACTTATGTTCTGTCAAAGGTTAACTTTACATTGCCATAGCAATGAACTTATACTCGCCCCCCCCCCTTTCTTTTCAAATTTAGCTGAAAGGGACATTAGTACTTTTCCTAGATAAGTAGATGCTTCTCTTTTGTGTTTATTTTCATTTATATCCCTTGCCACCCCCTTTCATCTTAAAAATAAAATCTGAGCTCATCAGAGTACTCAACCTGAGTTGCCTCCCTCCATTTTTTCCTTCAGATTATATGTGAAATTTCCTTTCATTAATTCATTTTTTTCATGAGACCACTGCAAAGCCTGGTAAGTTCTTCCTTTGGCATAACTACCTTTATTTTAAATACAAACAATCCCATTTAAAATTAATGTATATTACATTGATTTTTTTTTTTCTGGGTCTAGCTTAAGATTTGTATTTTAATAAAGCAATGAAGTTTGTTAATGCCTCTGATTTACTTGACTTTCTTAATGCCTCAAAGAGCCCTGTGCTATATAAAGTGTATGTAAAGGTATATATTTTATACATTATTTACACTGTATATAAAGAACTCATACACTCTTGTTAAACATGAAGAATCTAGTTCTCAATATCCCGATATGAAAAAGCAGATTAATAAGAAGAGGGGGAAAATAATCTTCAGGTCACCAAAAACATATAAACTAGAGAAGCTTATAAATATTTCTGGTGCATGAACTTTTTGGGTACAAGAAGATAAGTAATACAGAAAGTATTACAATCGTCACACCTACTTGGGTGTTACTAGGTTATTGGGACTCTTATATAAGGTACAGGCAGTCCCTGGGTTATGGTCCTAAATGTGTCTTTAAACCTAAATAAGTCTTTAAGTTGAATTTGTAGGGAAGTCAGAACAGGTGTATAGGGTTTTCCTTAGCCTTACTTTATTGCTCGAAGACTTCAGTGATTTAAAAGCTGCACGTGCAGAAAGTGAAGGTGCTGTGATGAACAGTTTTTTATGGTGTAGGGGTTGACTCAGTCAGAATTTTGGTTTCAAAGTGAGGACAAATTTATCTAACACCAAAGGTCAAATGGGAGTTGTTTGGACGTTTGTCACCTGGGGCCTGCGTGTACTCACCTCCAGGGAAACTGCATTGGTTACATGGAGTAAATCACAAACAGAGCAGTTAAGCTGCATGGAAATGTTACGTCTATAAAAATAGTCAAGTTGCAAGTGGGTTATCTATTTTAGATAGTAATGATGTTGGAAGCGGTGATTGCGCCATTATGTTCAGGGAGCTGTGTCTGCCAGAGAGAACAGTGCCAGCTGCATGATGGGGAGTAAGAAGAGAGGAGAGGGAATTTTGGTATTGACCTCTGTCTCTATTAAGTGCAGTTTTCAGCTCCCTCTTCAAAACTGAGAGGCTGGTGTGTGAGGCTGAGAACTAGGATGACCGAGCAGTGACTGCCACTCAACCTGTCCATTCTTCCATTCAACAATTCCTAGTGTAGCTAAGTGATCTCCTCCATTTGATGGGAGGGTGGAGTGTGGCTTGCCTTTGCTGACATTAATGCAGACGTGTACAGTATTCAGCAGTGCTTCTACTGACTTGGTGTTGCAATTTAACCTCTCCGGTGACAGTAAACACAATTTGATTAGTTCAGTTGCATACTGAAATCATCTACTTAATTATGTATTTGAGGTAATTTTGGAAATTTCTATCAAGTAACTCATTATAGAACACTGTTTCTAAGTATTTAACTAGAAATAGAAGTAGGTAAAAGCAAGTCAAAGGGTAGAAAAGACTAATTTTCTTCCTACAAAACCTGAAAGGATTTCACATTTAATGCATTTTTGTGTTCCTTCGGTTTCCATTTTGAAGATACTGCAGCATGATTTTAATTATTTAAAATATGGATTTTGATTACTCCTGATATGTTGATATAAGCGGAAAATTTATATTTGAAAGAACAAGAGTTTGCACACAAGACACACCTGTGTTCTAGTTCTTTCTCACGTATGTGGTGACACATAAGCTATATAGGCAAGAGAGAAGTACAAGGCCACTTCCAGTGAATTTTCTGTGTAACACAGATCTAGAAGCTTTTCTTAGAGTCTAATTTTCTTTTGCATCAATAGGTCAGCAAATGAATTTTATATTTGTGTTAAACCTGGGTGAGTTTGAAATTGTGGAATTTTGAGGGTGGATTAGAAATATGTCCAAAGGATAATTATCTTCCTCAGTTTCTTCTATAATGACCAATGAGTTCATTTCTAAATCTGTTTCTTAGGAATGATGGCTTTTTCACAGTGTGTCTTCGTACATCTCTCTGTAAAATGGAACTTTGATTCAGTTGTACTGTAGAGTTATTTGGGTTCTTTTGTTGTATTGTTGTTGCTAGGTGCCATTGAGTCTGACTCATAGTGACCAGGACAGGGTAAAACTGCCCCATAACATTTTCTAGTCAGTGATCTTTATGGAAGCAGATTGCCAGGTCAGGGATGTATTGTGCAGTGAGAGTATCTTTGTTTAAAGTGGTTACTTCTTGTTAGGGGAAGCAGCTGGCTTAGATTCGTTACCGTGCTTTGAGCAGAATGTTGATTGGATCAAATCTTGATGGGTGCATGTGGGCATGAACAGCCAACCTCATTTCTTGTTGCTTGCTTGATATTTCTGTTCCCCACACCATGTCTTCTTTGAATGATTCCTCCTCAGATCTCATTCTCCTAGAAAGAAAGCCCCTGCAGCCCCCTCACCCTCATTTTGACTGCTACAAATTTATTTGTAGCAGTCGAACCTCTCAAGGGACATGAAACACATTTCGATTAGTTCATTTGTATACTGAAATCATCTATTCAATTATGTGTTTGAGTAATTTTGGAAATTTAGCTTTAGTTCTTTTTGTCATCTATCCTCCTAAGAGCAAGAAAATTTTATGGGTGCTAAACAGAACTGGAGTGAGTTGTGTACGTGGAGCAGATTAAGAGGAAGGAATATTGGACCTTCAAAAATAGAGGGTTTTACAAGAGTTTGCCTTTATCATCTACTTTCCTGCCTACCTGAATGTTTATTTCTCTCCTAAGCTCAAGGTCTCAATGCTCTTACCTCTTTCCCTCTCTTTACCCAATAACCAAAAACTGCCATAGGAGATGTCAGTTAATTCATACTGAAGTGTGATTGATTTGTAAAGGCTTTCATGAAGAAGAAATCCTTTAAGTATTTTTACTTAAAGAGTTTTAAGTAAAGAATTTTACTTAAAGAGTTTGTTTACTTAAACAAACTTTAGGCCCAAATAGTAAAGCTATGGAGTGATCCTGGAGAGCTGTTACAGTGAGTTTTTCCAGATTTGCAAGAGGGTGTTGAATGCAAGTGATCATTTATCCTTCCTTTATAGACGTCTGGTATTGTAGAGGGGGAAAGGGATTTGATTTGAGACATGAGATATAGCCATCACTCGCCTGTCAGTTTGTCATCTGCCAGTTTGTTGTACTGTGGTGGTGGCTTATGTGTTGCTGTGAGGCTGGAGGCTATGCTATCAGTATTTCAAATACCAACAGGGTCACCCATGGTGGACAGGGTTCAGTGGAGTTTCCAGACTAACACACTGGGAAGAAGGATGGGGCCATCCGCTTCTGAAAAAGTTGGCCTCTGAAAACTTTATGAAGAGCAGTGAAACATTCTCTGATACAGTGCCAGAAGATGAGCCCCTCTGGTTGGAAGCTCTCAAAATATTACTAGGGAAGAGCTGCCTCCTCTGACTAGAGTTGACCTTAATGACATAGATGGAGCAAAGCTTTCAGGACCTTCATTTGCTGATGGGCATTAATCAAAATGAGAAGAAACAGTTGCAAACATTCATTAATAATTGGAACATAGAATGTACGAATTATGAATCTAAGAAAATTGGAAGTTGTCAAAAATGAAATGGAATGAATAGAGATTGATATCCTAGGCATTATTGAGCTGAAATGGACTGGTATGGGCCATTTTGAATCAGACAATCATAAGATCTACAGTGCCAGGAATGACAAATTCAAGAGCAGTGGTCACATTCATTGTCTAAAAGAACATTTCAAGTTATATCCTGAAGTACAGTTCTGTCAGTGGTAGGATAATATCCATATGCCTACAAGGAAGACCACATCGTCTGTGTATCACAGGTTATTAATGAGTCTTCCCCCAATGATGCCCTGTTTTTCTTCATATAGTCCCGCTTCTCACATCATTTGCTCAGCATACAGACTGAATTAAGTACGGTGAAAGAATACAACCCTGACACATGCCTTTTGTGATTTTAAACCATGCAGCATCCTCTTGTTCTGTCTGAATGACAGTCTCATGGTCTGTGTACAGGTTCTAATGAGCACGATTATGTGTTTTGGACTTTCCATTCTTCTCAATGTTATCC